GGACTAACTTTTAACCTTTTAAACATACCCTTTATATTTTTTTTTTTTTGTGTGATGTTGCTGATGACCCAATGCAGTTCATTTTTTGTATCTTTACCTTCTTCATTTTTTCTGGAGCAAAAAGAGTTGTGGGAGAATGAGTGATCCAATACACCAGGGGTTATTTTTTAGCGCCTTAAAAAGGAGTTGATTAAACACACACCTTCATGGAGGTTCTGATTTTGAGAGGCATTTGTCTGTGCAGCCAAAAGCTTAATAATACGAACTTTGTTAAAAGGATCTGAGCTGAGGTTGTCTCATTTTTCAGTAGCTGGTGATAATTTATCTCCTGACACTTTTCTGTGTATTTTGTGGGGTTTTTTTTTTTCTGATGCTTCTTTAAATCCTCAAATACAGTGTAACAGGAATTCAGGGTCTCCAGCTCACAGCAACAGCCTTGGGGTTTGAACTCCCAGCACCGTACTGGTTTGAGCTGATGCTGATGCTTTGCCTGCGCTCTGCAATGTTTTCTCTTTCAGAAGCTGTATGTTCATCAGGACATTGCGCTGTAAGCAGAAAGCTGCATCTGCTTTCTAATTGCTAAATGCTGGCTGTGTTGCCTTAGCTCAGCTTTCTGAGGTCTCTGCTAAGAGAAATTGGGAGTAACTTAGGAATTTAAGACTGAGACTAAAAAGAAGCTGGGAAATAAGGTTGTAAGAGTTTGTGAAAAGACCAGAGTAGTCACTGGCTTTTTTTCTTTTTTCCTTTAACTTTTTACAGTTATGACCCTGTTTATTCAAAATACAAAACCTTATTTATGTTCATTTTTAAGCAAACAATGATGAGTTTATAGGCTTGGACCTGAATGTAAGACCTTGGTGGATAGTTAAAACAAGTCCTGAGCTGCTTTTTAGCTTTTTAGATATATTTTGTGCAACGAGTATAACTATTGCAGCAAGGTGTACAGTCAGCACTCCATACATTGTAGGCACTTCAGAGTTTACAAGGCTGCCCTAATTGCCAAGCATGACCTACAGAATGTGTTAGCAAATGCCCATAGCCACAGGCATAATGCTGGTGGTTATGCTCCAAGAGGTAGCTCACCTACAACTGCAGAAGTTGCAAACCAATTTAGTTACTGAAACAGTGGGAATAGCGAGCCATTCCTACTCACCTCCAAAGCAGCACGCATCATGCCCACCTACCTCATCCAAAAGGGACCAGGGAAAGGGTTTCATCAGTCAGCCAGCCTCCTAAGAGAGCCTTCCTTTTTCCAGCAGCTTGGATCAGTGAAAAGTGAATTGGGGGACTGAACACTGAGATACATATGAAATTAAAAATTCACAGCTTTTACCCCTGCTGTTAGAAATTTGAGTCCAATAAGCATTTGTTTTTTCCTTGGTTCGCTTAGTTTCTCCTACTATTTTCAAATCATGAGCTGTCAGTGCTTAGAAACAGAAATGAATGGAATGGATTTTAAATAATGATTTTTAATGCAATGTAAGATGAAACTTTGTAAACAGTATTTGGTTTAGATCGTAACCATTTCTAATAGCTTGAGGATGATGTGACAATCAATTACCTACCAGTTGAGCTGCTCCCATCTTACTTGTATTAATATGTAACAGTGCCAATATATTTAAGGAAATTCTGAAGCTGTTATGTACATGCATGAGGAATTAGTGTGTGCCAGGGGAGCTCCACCTGTTCTGAAAAGAATCTAATGGTGCAGGTGACTTGGGTATTAAGCACACCTGAACTATTTTGTGATTGAAAGCTTCATTTATTTGAGGTAAGTTTAATAACAAAATATTTATTTTTACTTTTTAAAAGAATTACTATGGAAGCATAGATTTATAAATCAGACTAAAGACACTTAATGGTTAAAGAATTAGTAATAGTTAAAAGTGCTGATAGTTAAAACAGTACATTCCCATCCTCTTTTAACGATGTAAGATGATCTGATGTATGAACTGATACTGTGTTAATGAAGTGACAGTTGCAACCAAATCAAATAGAAAGCACTACAGATGTCTTTGTAAATATATGAAATGTAAAATCTAATAAATAGGAAAATATGACGTAGAGATGGTGTTGCCTCGTTATTTTACATGATGATGCCTGGACAACATTGTGGTAGAGTTGTTAATGGTGACAGTGACAGTGGTGGTAAGTGTCCAAGAGTTAAGTTGGAGCCAACTGGGGAGATGTTGGAACTGAGAAGCAGGGAGAGTATTTGCACGTCTTGGCTCGGGTGCCTGCGTTAGTTATTATCTTTCTGATCATACAAGGAGCTGTATCCTTTGATTAAGGAGCCCCTTCTATTTAGTGTGGGACTCAAGTAGCTAAATTAAAAGCTATGTTTTTTAAGATAAATCTTAAGGATTTATCTTAAAATTTTCTTTACATTGCCAGACTGAAGGAAAGCCAAGTCCATTGCTCTGCTTTCATGCAGAGCTCTGCAGCAGTTTCCAGCCTGTAACCCAGGGAAAAAGTACCCAACCCTTCCACTGCAGAATTCTGCTGCTGTCCCCTGAGCTCCAGGGGTGGTTTTGGCTACTGGAGTTGGAATTTCATCAGACCTGGGACGGTGTGATTTACTGCAGGAGAATCTTTCTTCCTGCACTGGGTTATCTGGAATAATTTGTGTTATAAGCAAAAATCTGCCCTTCATTTGAAGTAACTGTATCCATAGTACCACTTTGGCAAAACCACAGTACTAATCTGTAATTTAAGGCAGGCAGGATAGTGAACTGTAGCCCAGCTCGAGTCAAGCGATAGTTTGTACTTAATTGATGCTGCTCCCATTACAAAAATAAGCATCCACAGCACGTTTATTTAATGTTTAAATTACTTCATATTTTTACATGACCTGAAAAGAAAATATATTTATCCCACATACAGTAATAGTAAACAAGTGCATTATTTCAAACATTAAAAATAAATCTTTTAACCAAGTCTGTACAGCAGATAAATAAAATTATATCTACAATACTTAAGTTGTAAAGAACAAAACAAAAAGTCTCTCTCAAACTCACAGTTTCCCTGTTGCTCCTAATACTGGCATAGATAGAGGTTACACACCGTGCCCCCACTGCAGCATTTGCCAGCACCATTTCTTGCAGCCAGTTGAGGAGGTTGACTTCCCAAGTGTTGGAAGTAGTGCATGCGAAAAGCAAATAGCTGAGTCTCTTTCCAGTAGCTTCAAAATAGCTGGCAGTAAAACTGTTGAATTTGGAGGAAGTGAATGCTTCTTTTTTGACTATGGTCAATCTTTAAAAGAAACGGTTCCCAAAAAAAAAAAAAATGGAAGCCATTCTTTTCTTTCTTCTTTTTTTTTTTTTTTTTTTTGCACACACTGGTGTTTGAATTCAGTTTTTAAACTGGGATAAGATCAAAACCATGTACGTGACATGGTGAGACACTGGCACAGGTTGCCCAGAGAAGCTGTGGCTGGCCCCTCCCTGTTAGTGTTCAAGACCAGGTTGGACGGGGCTTTGAGCAACCTGGTCTAGTGGAAGGTGTCCCCGCCCATGGTGAGGGGTTGAAACTGGATGAGCTTTTCCAACCCAAACCCATTCTATGATAGTGCATAAGGTACAAATTAGGATTGTTTGTAGTCATATGTAATTGCACAAATGCTTAGAAAACAACATTGTGCTTGTGGTTTTGACTGTTAACAAGTAAGCAGTAGAAGAATAAAATGACAAAGCAATTAGAGGTCAAACTATAACATGAACCAAAACCACAAACACTAAAGAAATGACCATAACTTCACTAAGTGGAACATAAATTGCAGCATGTCACTGCCACACTGAAGGGCCGTTCTTTGAGTTTTACCTTTTATGCTAAAGCAAAGAATAAGAAAGATGGGCACTCTTAAAATGGGTGGGGGAAAAGGTTCCTTCAAATAGCTCCAATCTCGTTTCATTTGTAATTCGGAGACTCAACCATCTGCATGCAACAAGATGACCACAGTCCCTCTTCCTCGTGATATCAACAGACTGACTTGCATTCTTGACTTGCATCCTTGTCAGTGAAAATATTACTATAGGGTAAAATATGGCACCAGTTCCATAATGAGACCTAGTTTAAGGTCACCCACAACTCAGAGGTTAAAAGATCACTGTTCCCCTGTTCTCTCTTGAGATCAGATGGAATGGATATGACAGGATTCCCTCTGACTGGAAAAGGTTGGAGGTCTTCAAAAAAATTCTACATCTTGAACTGAGTTTCTGAAAACTATTCATCTGTTTGTTCACTGGGATTTTACAGAGAACTGCACATAGTTAAAGGAGTTAGTGGAAAATTTATGAAAAAGCAAACAATTTTAGGGAAAAAATTTCACCTCAGAATTCACCATATCTGCTGAAAACATTTCAAATTAAAAAACAAAAAGGAAAACCCCATAAAATGTTATGTAAACTTGTATATAATCTTAAATCGCTGAATTGGTGATGACTTTTTATTCCTGTGTATAAAGGGTTTCATATAACATATACTATCTCCACCCAAAATACTCATTTCTACATGTCGTGGTTTAAGATACACTACATTACCATTTAGTTCAGAAACATGCCCTGGTTTACCAGTAACTTCATGTTTCACATCAGGTGAAGGTGACCGCTGCCGAAGCATCACACATTTGCTCTTCTTTGTTCCTTGATGAGAATGATTCCGGCATGTGCCACGTGAGGGCGGTACTCCAGTAACATCCACTTTTCATTCGGCTGACCCGCGGTAAAGGTAATTCCATGATATGCCCATGATACTGCTCAACCATTTAACTTCACTTCTTCGTGTCACGGTTAAACATGTATGTAAACAGGAACATATATCCAGTAGAAAAGACTCATTTTCACATGCAATTCTGTACAGTGCATTCTTGGTTTTCAGATTGTTTGAGAAGGCTGTTTCCACACAAAATATGTACATTTGCACTATATACATTTATTTTCCACACAATTTAAATGTCTTCTTGTATCTCCAGTTGAGAATTTTTGTTCAGGCAGACACAAAATAAACCTGAAGAAAGTTTCCAAGAATCTTTCCAAGTCAATGCCTTGACTGATCTTGCATTGCTGAAAAGAGATGTAGTCCGGAGAAAAATCCAGCTACGCATAGCAACCTTTTCAGCAGAGTTGAGTTATCTTTAGGAACCACAATCTGTGCCAGATCATTGGTGATCTGAGAAATTTCATGTGCCACACACACAAATATGAAAGTGCTGACAAGAACATTAAACATTGGATATCCAGGGATAAGCACCAAGATCCCCTTTGTGTCTGCTGCCAGCCAAATATGGTATTGACAAATGAAAAGCTGAAAGAAAAAAGAGTGTGCTTAATACTTATATATAAATATTTTTTCTTACATAAAAACATAACTATTACTACTGTATCAGCTGACACACTATACTTCTGCTTAAGTCAGACTAAATAACATACTTTGAGAAGCTGTTTTCTACATGCCTTTGCTCTTAAGACAAAACCATTAGTCTCTCAGAGTACACAGTAAAATGAGTTTGCCTAGTCCTTAACCAAGTACAGCACAGGGCAGCATCATCTTACATAATGTCAGGAGAGATGAGGAATACACCTCTGCTCAGCTACTCCATCTCTGGCAAGGGACTGAACTAACATGCTTGCAAATAGAAGACAGTGCTGCAACTGCTGGTGAATGCAGTATTTCCTGGAGTTGGTCATGATCAGCACCTTCTAGTTCACCAGGAATCACAGCAGTGAAAATGTGATCCTTTAAAAAACAATTCAAAGTCGTGTACTACATAAACATAGCATCACAATGAGTTTGTCCTCTAAGTTCCTTCCCCTTTTTAAAATGTATTATAGTAAATACAATAAAATTAAACATTTAGTATTACTAGGCAGCAAACCAAATGGAAAGCAAGGTAATTCCTACCATTTCAAAATACACACTCAATGGAACAAGGTAACGTCTGCACTAAGAAGGGTTTTGCTTGTGAAGTTACACTGGTTCATTAACGCAGAAAAGCTTTCTAGGGCAAACACATTTATAAGTGTACTTGCACTAGTCAGATTCATGATGATTCTTCCACCGGCTTAAACTTTTATCTTCCAACTGCCTACACAACACATCCTTCTCCAGCATTAAATCCCCACTCTCACAACCCTAAACTTCCCCTCCCCCCCAAACAACGTAAGAAATCAGTTTGCTACTGTAAGCTATTTCAGCTATGATTTTCAAGTGTAGACAGAAACTACAGTGCTAAAACACAGCAGCATGGTATTAAATAAGCCAATGTATGTTTTCACTACTTATGCGTTATACTACAATTGAGATAATAAAGCCGCCTTACATTTCTAAGTTTCAATTCACTGTACTTCTGATTGTTCTACTCACCTCTAGAGAAATTTTGCCAAACCAGGCAAAGAATGAGCTATACATAGATCGGACGTACCCAGGAATGTTCCTAATGAGGACGAAAGCTAAAATCTATTTCAAAAGAATTAAAAAACAAAAGTGACTGTGGATGACAAGCAGATTACACACACACACAAAATGTTTAGTCATTTTCACTGCGTAAAGTGAAGTGCATCATGCATTAAATTGTCTTTAAAATCTGATAAATATATAAACCAAACAAAAAATCCATGCAGTTCATGCTTGAAGTCAGTCTTGAAACTGCAAATCTCTCACATGCATTCTTATAGCATAGCAAGTCACATGCACATCTTCAGTACAACCACAGCCTTGATTTTGATAGGTATTACTATACACCTACTAGGCATGGTCACAAGACATGTTATACCATGCCAGCCCAAAATGAAGGTGATCAGAAATCTGAGTTAACCCTCAATTTTTAAAGAGAAGGTGTCAGGATGGACAAATTCATATTAAAACATTAAGTCACACACACACTATCCCCCTCAAGAGGGCAGGACAGACTACTAAACAAAGGAAACAGATAGGGAAGAGGTTCAGACAGCTGCAGTATAGAGGGGCAGGGGACACAGTAAGAGGAAAATCTAAGTTTCAGAAAACCACACGTATGCCCCTGTGGCCAACCTCATCCCTGCCTAAAAGTACCTAAAGGATCCCATAGGTGCTTCCTACACGAACACCTCACAAACACTTGTGCTTCCCTGCAGCTTTCTACTTTTCCACTGCTATGTGATGAGTCAGAAGTTTGGTCTGGACTTAAACAGTGCCCATGAAACCTACACTAAGGACATGATGGTTAATCAAAAGCGTAATCGCAGTATGTGATTTCATGCTTAGAGGCAATGGAAACCAGTGAGCAACATAATTAAACCCTTTTTCACTTTCAGACATTTGAATGAAGCTCAGTATCTGACATTCCATGCTAAAGCAAAAATATACTTAAAAACAATTTCTAAAAGAGCCCAAACAATAACAGAGTAGATTCTATGACTGTAAGGAAAAGGACTGATTATAATTACCTGCACCACAGAAACAGAAGGATGTAGCTCATTGCACTCTGTCTTGTTTTTACAGCTACTAGCCCAAATAGAGTAGGCCTAAAAGATACAAAAATCAGTCTGTGTAGCAATTCTATGTAATGTTTAAAAATTAAACAAGAGATAAGCTACTTTGAAGTGTTTCAGCAGTAAGTAGCTGGCTCACTAATACGTGAGACAGTAATATAAAAAACTACATTTTGCTTAGTAGGAAAAATTGAAATATTAATATTATAGAAAATATTTTAATGGAAAAAAATACATTGTGCATCATTTTGTGTTTCTTCCAAATTCTTCTTTGCAAGTGATGAATACTGTACTTAGTCATACCCTAAGATACAGGCATACTGTTGACAGTATTTTCATCTCAAACAGACAAGCAAGTAAGAGTGGAGATAAGAGCTGCATTATCTACCACATCACTTTTATGGTCCAATTTTCTTGTAACTTTTGCAACGAACTGAAAAGAGTGATGATGTTTTCATCTACAGCTGACTGAAAGGAAAACTATTTCAGTAAGTAAATAGGTCGGGCTGTGCAAAAAAAACACAGCTGAAGTATCTCCAGATCAAGATTTGACTTTTTAAAATTGATGTATTTTCTAAAGAAGAACTTCAGAAAACTTGTTCTTTAGAGATTTACAAACCTGATCATAGCAGTTATACTTGGTACGTACCAAAAAGGATACAATTGAAATAAATAATAAAACATTTGAAACTCTATTGGAGAAAAGAGGATCTCCTTTTCCTTCTGATATCATCTGACGTTTCTGCAATGCCAGATAAACAAAAGCAAACAGCATCCCATGAAAAACCACCTGTAAAAGACAAACAGAATGCAGTGAATATTTCACGGCTTTTACAAGGACTTCAGGTACAAACTCTTACAGAAATGCTACAGGATCAACTATTTGTAATATCAAAGCTTAAGTTTCAAAAGATCCTTTCCCAGACTTACTGAAGCAAACAAAACCAGGCTTTCTAAAACAGGTCATCATAAACTGCATTTTTAACTCAAAAACTACAAATAAAAGTACTGTTACTAATGCTTCACAGAGCATTAAAGACATGACAATGAAATTTCGAGAAGCTTTCAAGCACCTACTCTCCCCTCTGCAATCTATGCCAGCATTGAAAAGAGCTTTCTCTGGGGAAAAAACAAGAGTCTTTGGCCTTTTCCCAAGTTGGCAGGTGAAAACATCCAAGAAGCACTACAAGTGCTTCCCTGTCTCACAGGCACAGTTCTTCAAGTGTTTTATGATCTTATGCCAAGTTCTCATTAGCTAGCTACATGATGCCGTTTCAGGCCCATGTAGTGCTTGTCTTCTCTATTTTTTTTTTAGACTTGCTCTTCAGCAGCATCACAGAATATACACTATTCCCAACAGCAAAGCTCCGAGGCTGAGATGTCTCAATGCAGTGTGCGCTGCTGATGGGAGCAGCCTGGGACATGACAACAGTACGTGCTCCGCAAATGAAGAATGCCAGAGGGAGAAGGGTGCAAGCAATCCCACTCAGGGTAAGGTTAGCAGATAAATGCTCCCATCTTAGAAACTCTGGTTACCTTACCGACAAGGCAAAAAAGAAGACCAGTGTCTCCCTGTTCTGTCCCCATATTGTAGGATCACTAACTGGGAAGAAAGCACTTTCCCACTGGAAAACTGTTTAAAAATATCACAGAATCACAGAATGGGTTGGCTTGGAAGGGATGTTAAAGATCATCTAGTTCCAATCCCCCTGCTGTGGGCTAGACATCTTTCCCTGTGCAAGAGTAGTCTGTTTCGGGCATCAAGACCCTGATTTTAAGTGTTTTGAAGGTTACCTTGAAAGAAATATATCCTTAATTGATACAGCTTACAAAAATATTATTAAGAAAGCCATGATAATCTGTCTTGTATTTCAATAGCCTGAAGTGCTACAGATGTTACACTTTCACAGTAAAATTTTTGAGAAAAGCCACATCTAAGTCACTTTATGACTTTTTTAAAAGCAGTATCCAACAGCAAATAAATCAATATCCATCTTTTAAGCAAGGCTTTGACAGACATTTGCAGAAGGTGGATGCAGCTTAGTCTTCTATTAAACAACCTACTGGGACAAACTCCTGCTTTCCCTCACCTCCCCATCCCCCCAAATTAAAAAATGCACTTAAAAGACCAGTCTAACTTTATACAAATGTTACATACATAGCGATCCAACTTCCACCTAAACCACCATTCATAGACATTCCCATTCAGTTCAAAACACTTGGACAGTGGCCAAAAGGAAAATATCTTCTCGAATGCACCCTGTAAAAAATAAAAAGGGCAAAAGCATTAACATTGATGTCAACTATATTTATTACATTTAAATCAATATGCTTTCTTTTAGTATTACCACATGCGTATTTCACTAGCTAACTGACATTACCTAAATAACAGGCTTCTTAGAAGGCACTCTGCCCCAGAAAGACAAAAACCCCAACCAAACAAAACAAAAAGTACTTCTTCAGATGAGAAAGAGTTCAGGTTTGCTTCCCATAAAGACCTTGCATTTTGTACTGCAGGTTTAAAGGGAGAGATTGACTAATGTGTTGGGATAACAAATGCATACTCTACCAAAGACTACAGTTCAACACGCTTAAAACCAATGAGGGATTAAACCCCAACCCCATCCCCTATAAAATCCTGGAGTGACAAACTCTGCCTTTATTCCTGTCAGCTACACTTGCAGCACGCAGTAAGTCACTAAATTAATTTAGCATGGGAAGCAGTCTTTTGAGAAGTTATCAAAGGCAAAACCTGGCCTCTAAGAGACACAGATCTTCCTATCACCTGATCACCATATGTATTGCCATATGCTAGCAAATACAAGTAACTTTAAGCACATTAAAAAAACCCAACCCACCCCAAACCCAAAGCATAGACCTTTGTATTTGTTATATTTGTAGTAGTATACTGAAAACATGTCAAGCATTACAAACGAGTAAGATACAGAACTGTGGTTTTTCCAGCATCCACACCAATTCAAATATGAAAAGAAACTGAAAGGTTCCATTTTTCTTCTTCTATCTTTATGATACGGGAGCAAATATACAATCAATAAGCACATTAAAGAGTAGTGATAGGTCATATACTCTTAGGTTATTAAGGATAAAAATAGTCAAAACTTACAAACCTGAGAATATGACAGAAAATATATACATGTCAGTAAGCAAATCAGTTTCAGCAGTAAACCAAAGTGCCACAAGCAGTTTCCTGATGAAGAAATAGATTAATCAGTATACAGTCATCAATTTTTCAATGGCAAAATCAGGCCACATTAAATAATAAATGTTCAAGTATTACCAGCAACATTTTATCACTATTCTCACTTACATGTTAAAGTTTACTTTAAGCAATTAAATTAAACATTCATAACAATTAACAACCTATTAATCATAAATTAAGTCTCATGTTTAAACCAGGGACAACATACATACAGAAAGAACTTGGGTGTTCAACCAGAAGCACTATTTTAAAGCGTGCTTTCCCAAACACTCTGCACAGCAGTCCTTCTTCTAGGAGAATGTAAATAAATAAATAAAACAAAATGCCCAACAGCTTTTGTAATGTGAGATAAGTACAGCATACATTATTAAACTCTGAGGTACCAGCTGTACTCCAAAGCTCAGCTGCAGGTCATTAGGGACAAGTATCTCATGAAAAGAAGCCTGAAAAACTGCTCCTCAAAGCTATTGACCGATACTAAGTTCTATCAAGCCTCAACATTGCAACAGGCTCCCTCTCTCACCATATAAATTGGCAGCTGTAAATAGGGCCATAAACAAGTGAAAGCTATCACTGAAAGATTTTCTAGTTTCACAAGACACTGTTACTCTTAAGTACACAATAGCCATTTGTCTGTATCTGGAACAGAAGTGCCTTCATAGAAAAAACCCAAAACATCAGAGCTGTTTGCTTTTGAAGTATCTTGTAAAACTACTCTCTAATTATATTTTTGCAACATCTATTCCTAGCATCTGTTTGTTATATTTTATTGTCATACCTGCAGACTATAAAATTTGGATACTACTATACCAACAGGGAAGGAGGACCTAAGCCTCTGAAGGTTTTATTTCTGATTTAGGTGAATTAAATTAGCATTTACCACTTGATAACAGCTTTTCAATGAACTGCAATGCATAAAATAAACTGGGATTTCACTTCAATTTTTATTTAAAATACCCATATCACAAATCATACTGATGATTAACCACTTAATCTAAGATACTAAGATAACCAACCCCACATTCTTATTTGGCAGGTGTGGCAGAATTGGTGCTCAAGATGGATGGACATATTGGCAACGCAGAATGGGAAAGTCTAAACGCTCACTGCTCATGCTGTACCTAACCATTAGTACACCACAGCAACAACTTCAGCTAGCAAGAACAGTGTAACCTATGCTTTTAGTTTGCATTCAGTAGTATTACAACTCTTAATAGATCACATTTCTGATGGTCAAAGCCTATTAGAAAGTATTCTAATATGACTGTAGGCAGCGTCAGAGTTTATTTATCAGCTGTTACATTTTCCAACTGACACCTAATTCAGCTATGACAAACTGTACTTCTGTGAATAGCTGATTAGCACAGTTTGACTATGTTACAAAGAGATTGGGATCCAACAATACCATTTTCTCTATGGCTGTCATTGTTGTAACATGCAAATGTTTTACAGCAGAAACAAATACAAAAATAATCTTACCATTTGCTTTTTTCTGGACTATCTGAGGCCATATAGCTAAGGTGGCATAAATGATCATAAACCAGACAGTCACTAATGGCACAAAGTAGTAGAACTGGTAAGGTCGGTCCATCACTATGCACAGTACCACAACCAAGAAATTGAGACGAAATAAAACCTGGATGGTGTCAAAGGAGAGAAGACAAAGGATATATAAGATGAGAGGCAAAGCTGAGAGAGATGGGGGACATGTTCCTCTAGCATTGTATGAAAATATCTACGTATTTTACATCTCACATGCCGATTATATTTCAGCCGAAACACGGTTAAGTATCTCAGGGACATCAACGGCGCAGTGTAAGACTGCAGGCTGATTATGTAGTATCAGACCTCCTGTCCTACACCGGCCTACTTGGTTAGACAGAGCAATGAAACAGGGTAAACCAGGACTGACTATTCCCCAGGCTGGGGACTGAGAATTCTGATTGCTGGATGTTGTTAAAGCCTCTCTGCTTTCACTCCCATAGCTACCGAGCTAGTTCCGCTAACACCAGGGTAATTTCATTACCAGGGCTGCAATTAGGCTACAGACATATTTTTAATGAGCACGACAACCCAAGTCACATGACAATATAACACTTAACAGAAATTAGAGATATATTTTTAAAAATAATTTTAAACTGCTACAGGACAGACTGCAAAGCCTGGGAAGGAAACCACAAAAGTAGGATGTTTTCTCCAGTATCATTACTGTATGAATATTCATTTTCTTTATTAACAACCATAGGCTCCAATACGCTGTCTTTCGAAGCCTGCCTGGATCATTACTTATATATTGCTATATATTGTGAATTGCTACTGTAATGAAAACTGCACTGCTATATACTGGAAATTATTTGTCTTGGTATTTTAAAACCTATATACTTACATTTTAAGTATTATTTATATCCTACATGTTAGTATTAGATAAACAGTACAACTAAACAGGTCAGTTTACATAAAAACAACAGTCATTTTCAATGTGCAAACCCTGATTAAGTAATCTGATACCACATTATTTAGGGAGTAAAGATATACTATGGATATTTTGCTATCTGAACAGATTTCTTTATAAAAGCAGTAAATAAATATTCTTACCTGACAAACTCTGTAGACACCAAAGTCCCCTTTTATCCAAAAATATGAGAAGTGCCCATAACCTGTTTGGAACAGATATGCAGCAACCAGAACTCGAATGTGCATGTACACAGGTAAAAACTGTTGAGAAAAATACAGTACCTTTTATAAATGTCCACGTAAATGCTTTCTATTTTTCCCCTCTGTTTTACACTTTTTCTGCATTGCAGTAAATCAGGTTTAACTATGGAAACAAACATTATCCTACAGTTCTCTGTTTCTTACTAAGTTCTTTTGGTGCCCTAACCTCTCCAATGTTAAAATTAATTTCTTGTATTTATTGCTCTATGCTTTCCACATTCTACTACCCGCTAAGAGAGACTTAAGAAATCTCTCTTTGAAAGCTTACCTTCAGCAGGTTCATGTTCAGAACATAAAAAGGAAGTGTTGCTAGCAATTAAAAATAAACCAACATAATATTCTATGTTATTTATTATACTAAAGTATACTTCTTCTCTGGTCAAGTAATGCACAAAGTGCTCATATCAATGAAATCTATGCTTAAATACAAAGAAAAACTAATTCTGCTAATAGCATTTTAAAAACTACAGGAACAACAGCATTAGTTACTCATTCTATTCAATTTTAATACACATTTGCACTGTCTTTCTTTTGAAGTAACATACACAAATTGCATTCCCACTTAAAAAAAAAGAAATTTAAATCACTTACAGTGCTTGCTCCAGAGATATGATATATCAAAATAACAAGTTGCATCCAGCCCTTCCATTCATCAGTCTGTTCTCTATTTAACACTTTAGTCTAATGCAAAACAAAACAAGAGTGTTGCTATTCCAAAAAGTACAACGAACATCTACAAAATGAGGAGAGAAAGTTCAAAACAATAAACCACTTTATGGGTAAACAAGTCTCAACTGTAAAAGTCTTCATCTAACCTATACAGGTCTACCTCTCTTGTATCTGAGCTATGCTCAGTTGCAATTTAACTTAGTGACAATGGCTAAAAGCACACATATCCATTTGCTTTCAAAAAAATTTTGCATCTAATTCCATGCAAACATTACACTGCTTGTGAATGCATTTTTTGCAGATGAATTAAACTGACTTTGAAAATTTAACTTTCAGTATTTAGCAATTAGTTATTTACACTCAAACTTGGAAACAACGTTATAAGCTAGATGTCAACATGAGCATTACCTCTTTGGTATTTTCAGTATAAAATACCCCCAAAACCAAGATATAGACGATTGGTATGAAGAAAGATGAATGTGTGTAATATTTATTTTCCTTCATGAAAAGATTTGCTCTGTCACACAGATAAAAATAGGTCATGATTAGACCAAGTTTGCAGAAGGAGTGTAAGAGAATCTCTAAAGTAGAAACAGGAGTGCTGATAGCAGGTTTCTTCTCCTCTCCACTTTCCAAATCAGTGCATGATTTGCTCTTCTGATAATTATTCCGATGAATTAAACAGATAATTAAATATCCAATAATGGACAAAGTAAAGAAACAGAAAGCTAACTTCTGTATCAGAGTGAGAGGAGGCTGAGGCTGGCAGCAGGAGCCATCAATGGGCTTCATTATCTTATTGCAGTAGACATTCATAAGAATCATCGCATTCTGTCAAAGAAATAAGCAGTTTTGTCAATTAATCACCAATAAAAATATTAACATTTTCATTGTAATAAACCTTCTAGATCATGCACTGATATAAAAGATACGCAATTCTCCCTTATCATTACACAGGTAAAATTTCAGTGTCCCCATATACCTAATTGCATTCAACAGTACAGTCAAAACACCTCTTCCAAACAGGAAACCCTTGAGCTTCTTCAGGGAAGCAAGAAGATCTAATCCTAATCCTTACAATAAAAGGGTTCTTTCTAGTGGGTGTAAAGCTATAAAGAGCTAAATGAACTATAAATGAAAAACAGCTCCCAAACTTGGGCACTAAAGGGGCACAGTAATGAAACTCTGAAACATGGCAATGAGGCTGAAACGTATGGTGAGATGGTATGTAGTTCATCCAGTACTTTAAAGCAACAGAAATCTGTGAAGGAGTGGAACTAGAAGTGACAGAGTAAGAGAGCTCTTTCACAAGAAAAGACTGACAAAGCTCAGAGGCACTCATTATGTGCAAAGAGATATTCGTAAGTTAAAGATAAAATAAGAAATAAAGTCAGTTGCAGTCCACACAATCAGGAAAGTGTATATTTTGTGTTTTCTTGTCTTTTTCGTACTTCTTACAGAACAAAATTATATGGGCATATAGGTGAAAAATTAAGACTTATTTCTTAGCACTGTTTTACAAATAATTTTCACCCTGATACATGCAGATGAAGGCATGAATTTTGCATGCAGGATCTAAAAGATATAGCCAATTAACAGCTATTTTGAAATAGCTACACACTAACATGTTTGCTATTGTGGAGTTTTTTAACACTGTATGTAACTGATTGCTCTCACACCTACTGGGATCTTCTGAATAAAATTTCCTGAAAAACATGGTCCTCATTCTGTTCATATTGTTTGCCATTTCAAAACATTCACTTAAAATCTTGTTTTACTATTACTACTTTTCAATGTTGCCCGGTGATAAAAACACTTACTGTATCTCTGCTTGATTCAGGGAGATGCAGGCCATCTGTAGACTTCATGATAGTTTCTTGTGCTATCAATTTTGATACACTGAACACTTTAACTTTAGCTTTGGAATTTCGGGAGCTGCTGTTCAGAATACGAACAGCTGCTTCATTATAAGCATCTATTTTCTCATTAGTGATCATTTTCCGACTTTCACTCAGCATATCTTCATAAACGGGATCTGAATTTGAAAGGACAAAGAGTGAGCACATTAACCTTCTACTTGACAAAGACATTTGCTTAGCTCAAGTTGCACAGGCATTTAGGTAGTCACAACTGTTTCACAACTGTTTAATGGCACAGAAAAAAATGTACAGCGAGGACTAAGAGACTGTTACAGTAACTAGAGTTGTTTATGATGAAATGTTCTTATTGCCTGTCCATAGTCATGCATATGGTACTTATAGATCAGAAAACTTTGGCCAGACTTGAATGCCTGTTTAATTTTCCCAAATTCATGAAAAGCTTGTAATGCTGGAGTACAGACTTCTGTCCTTCTCCAAAGGAAGACTCTAAAGCCAAGAGGACAGAAGACAGGTAGCAGAATGGACACATAGAAAAAAGAAATAAATCTCTCAAGCCCTTTTGTTACTGCAGAAGAAGCCAGCTTCTTTCAAAAACAGAACACCATTTAATTGGCTGCAGGCTTCAGAAATGATGTAGAGCTTAACACAAAGCTAGACAGGGTTCTGGATCAAAAGGTCAGCTGGAGATCAGTAAATTGCTATGAAAAGCTTCTCATGTTCTTAGTCTGCTGAAACACACTCTGTGAACTGTAAGGTGATTTACTTTAGCTACCTCATGCTTACTTTCGGACAGTCAATGTCTAGACAACTCTGTACAGACACCTCTTGTTACTTGTTCCGTTAAAGAACTCAGAGGTGACTTAAATGGACTGCATCTTTATCAACAGAATGGTGCACCATGCCTGACAGCTAATTGCTTCTATTATAGATAAACATGGTTTTGAAAGGAATGCAAGAAGATTCATCTGTTGATTTAGGTTAACCTCTAGAACTATCTTTAATAGGAACGTGGATGTGATTGTAAGGTACAACTGGGGATATTCCTGTCACGGCTCAAAATCTGCCTAGGTTTCTAACTGAGGTGATGATAATCTAAAAATGCTATGTTTTATGGCAGGTAAGCCAGGAGCATGTTCTACCTATGAGCTCACTGTTCAACATCAGGGATGTATTTTGGTTTTAATGAAGAAAAGCAAAAGAATGTAAGCTTGGTGCCCATAATAAAAATCTCACAGACTCGCTGTGAACCACAACTTCTGGCCCTTAATCTTAACTCATCAGTGCTCAGAAGCATGTTTCATGCTAGAGACTTAAATTCTCCCTATTCTCAAGAGTGTGTCCATTCTAGACACACACAGAGGATGCGCTTGCTGAACCTCTCATTATTTCTGTAATCTGAAAATTTAATAGAATATTAACACAAGAATACAGCTGGTTTATGCACTGTGTTCTTGACTCCCAGGAGGCAGGTACGGAGCACAGCACAGGGAAAACAGACCTACCATATTGAGCCTGAGAGTAAGCTAACAAAGAATTGAAGAGTTCAGAAGGCAAAACATTTTCCTGGGTGAGCTTTAAATCTCTATCACTAGGAACAGCTAATTAGGTTCCTGCTAGTTAAGGGTACAAGAAAGGCCAGATTAGACTTCAACCAATGCCCTTTTTACTCTGCTAGTAAACCATATAGACTGTCTTCCATATCCTGCAAGACAACGATTCAACAGATGTGGCAGTACAAATTATTACCTACTGTTCATTACTTTACCTTGTAAGACCCAGTAAACATCACTAGTTTTTGCTAATTTTTCCAAAAGGGGTGCAATTGAAGTGATATTGATTTTATACTGTGTGAGGGCTTCATTGCTGCCATTATGAATCTTGATAGACCACTGGAGAGATAAAGAAAGATATTCAGTACCTGCATGTCTGAGGACCCTTAATTATCTAATTCCTTTGCTCTGTTAGTAGCTATTTCTCATTATTTTTATAAAGCTAGATTATTTTTTTTAGTCTTCACTTTTAAAGTGCTAAATATTTCTTTTGGACTAAGCAGCTGTTCAGACAGATAATTACATTCAAAGAGACCATTCAAATGCAGAGCATGTAATATTCAACTTAATGTATATTTGATTTTTCATAAATGAAATGAGCAGTCATTCAGCTCTTGACTCCCAGTACCAGCCAACCACTAGAATAGATGACCTGGGGGGCCTGTTGAGTTCCATCCCTGGAAGTTCTAAAGAATTGGTTGACTCTTGTCAAGGGCAACACAGGTATAACTGATCCTGCCTTGTGTCAAACCAATGGGTTAGGAGACCTCTTCCTGTCCTTGTCAGCCCTGCTTTCTGTGATGCTGCAGCCTGTAGCAGTGGTGGAAAATTTCAGTGGAACAAGATTCAGGAGGTGCAAATCTCTTTGGTTGTTAAATTACTCAAGTAAAATACAGTTTTTTGCCCATGTAAGCCTAAAAGAATTATGCATGCTCAGAAAGAGCATTCCAGATTGCACCATGCTCCAAGGTAGTATTCTGTAACTGAAAGGAGTTTATTAAAAATTATTCTCAGTTAGTATGCAAGTACTTGCATTTAACTTTTTTTAAATGAATGATCTGCTTTTAACAAAGCTACTTTATTAGCTAGGTTCAAGCTAATCAATGTTATCAACCAGTATTGCTGCCAAAAAGCAAGTACTGTACATTGCACAGCTATAATAAAATATACCTGATATTTTAAAACTACTTGTTGTAACAGCAAATTCATGGAGAGTATACTTTTACTATAAAAAAAAGCTTAAAAACTTTATCATGTAACCAACTTGACAGCATAAAAGTCACCCTACAAGGACTTCTTCTTTACTAAAATGCCCCATATATAACTTACCGTGGCAGCTCCTGCTACAATTATATGAGGTTTTGCTGCAGAACTCTGAGACATAAAATAAAAAGGAATTAGGTTTTAAATAATCACAAATTATTATTATACTGAGCAGGTTAATTAAGAATCATATCTTAATTAACTGTAACTCAACTTGTCCATCAGTTGATGGTTATAAAAGAATAGATTGCAGGTATATTACAGAGAACATCAACTTGTGATATGCTAGAATTTTCACATAACAGAATGCGCAAAAGTAAAAAGTATCAATAAGCATTCACAATCGTTATCAATTTAGCAGCATAAATTCTCTTTAAAAGCTATTTAAACAACAACTCCTACTGTCAAGTAAACTGTAGATCATACTGTTGAAGTACTTTTTCTCTCAGTATCTTGCAGCATTGTCAAACATCTATTTGAGTTGCTGTACTGACTGAAGTGATCAGTTGTTGCTCCAGAAGTCTGAATGTTAAGTCTCAGACAAGAAACAGAATATGTACTCAAACAGAAGAGTACAAGGAAACAACAGTGCTGATCACCCCAGTACGAGTTTTGCCTTGGCATTTAGCAGCTCTCAATTTTTTGTAGTAATCACAGAAAAAGAAAAATGAAATTATAACTTCAGCTATCTTAATGGAAGGTGTGCAAGATTGACCAATAAGGTAGCAAAAGAATCACAGGGGACCATTATTAAATAGCTCCAGGCTATTTAAACATCAACAAAGGAAAAAACAAGAAACATTTACTTGCCAGTCTGCAAACATACTATTTGTTATCAGAATTACATACATAATTTTATGCTGAATAAAATGACAAGCTGTACCATAACTGAAACATAAAATAATTGGTATGTAATTTGAAGGAAATATTAAGGAAAGATAAATTAAGGCATTTTTGACTTTCCAAATTGCCTTCAGTTTGGAACACTGAAATTAACATAAATATAAAATCATAGAATGTCTCGAGTTGGAAGGGACCCACAAGGACCAAAAGTATTTCGTCACATAAAAATAAAGCCATCACAGACAAGGAAGCAATGAAATACCAGATCTGAGTAAAATTCTTTCAGCTCTTAATGGGATGAATTGACTTGCTTTTGGGAAGTAGCATTTTTCTGGTTTGGTTTGGGGTTTTTTTGGGCCAAGTAAAGCCATCATGAAAGACTAGGAGATGCCCAGAAACATATACACTAGTGAACATTCCCCTTTCCCTATTTTGATGTCAAATTTCAGATCTCCGGGACATAACTGACTGAATGTATGTGATATGCTACAGCTGCTGGACTCCCGCTAATTATGGTTGTGTATACAGATAAAAAAAAGGAAGCTAATAGTCCTCAGACGGTTGCTATATTTTCCTGAACCACAGTTTTTTAAGACAAACCTCAGTCCAAGATTTGATACGTTGTCTCATAGAGCCATTAACTTCTGGATACCACAGGAAATCCTGTAAAACAAATGCAGATTTACTCTGTAGGCTTAAAGACAAGCAGTAGATGAACAAAAAAAATTCAAAAAACCAAACTAATTGCCATCAATTCAACTGTAAAAGAAAATCATTTGGGCCACAGTCAGATTTCCTTTATAGTTACCATGAAAAGCCAGACATCTTGCTCTAGCATGCAAAACAGAAAGCAAAGGGAAAAAAATGGGGGAAAGGGAGGCAAGGAACAGGATGATGACAAAAACCCCACAAAACCACAAAACTTTGGTCCCATGAAACAAGAGGAAATTTTCATTTGTAGTTCAAGAGCTGGGATTTCACCAAGAAAATGACTTTTCAGTTTCTGCCAAATAGGATGTCCTTGGACTTTTAACATGATCAGGGATAAAACCAAGCTCACAACTATAACTTATTTGTTAGAACTTGCTTTTTGCTCTTGTTCCAGAACTTGATATAATTATAGCATGAAATAATTATTTTTGAACAAAAAGGAAACCTAACAATTTACTTTACACTTCATAAACTATGAGTTGTTTAAACCTAATAATGCCATGGCCATTAACTGCATTACTATTAACATTTTTTTAGATGTCAAAAGTAGTGCGTAACCTTCACCTAGAAGGACAGGCAAAATTAAACTCTACATTTGTTCCCAGTGATTTTCTCTTTTCTTGGTCAAGTATTTTCCACATTTAAATTATTGGGTCACAGCCATTGGGATTGTGGAAATTCAGCTACTATGCCTATAATGTCAACAGCAATATGGTATCAAAACAAGGAAGCAGTAGACTAGGAATATATTCTTAACTATGCAGACACTTCCTAAAAGCCCAAGCCTGCCTAAATCAAATCTTGGTGGTTAGATACTTGCCAAGGCTTAAGGAGATTTGAAGATGTAGTTCTGTGTCAGCCTACACCAACATAAATCACACTGGATTGAGCCCTTTGTCCTGCTTTCTGTTCTGCCCCCTCTTTTCCAGCACTCAGATAACCATATGATGAGCCACATCAGACCTGACCTAAAAGGAATCCTATAAGGTAAGTTTTTGATTGAATCGCTTCCTAAAACAGCTGACTCCACAACTGTACCAGGGCTAGTCACAGCACAAATATAGGAACATACTCTGAAGGGCAGCAGTTGGACAGCATACGCCTAAATTGCCATGGACTCACACTCTAAAATGTTATTCTGTATCCTAAATCTTAACCATGTACACAAACAGGTACTGAAAGCTCACCTGCAGGCAACTTAGCAAATACACTGCTACTTTGGTTTTCATTAACAGAGAATGAGTTGTCTCCAGGGCATAAACAAAAACATGACTAGCAGAATCCCAGTGCGGCTGACAGCTGTCATGGGAAGCAAAGAAAGCTATTGAGGACACCACTTCCATTGCCAAGGCAGAGAACAGAATCCTTCATAAAACCTACCCTCAAGTACTCTGTTCGTTTTCTTTTTTAAAATATCCACATTATAATAAACATTGTGGTTATTTCTCCATGCAAAAACAATGGAAGAAATACTTGTTGGGATAGCACAGAGAGCTCAACAGCAGTTATGACAATTACCACTGCAAGTAAGTTAGCCCCAGATACATATTCTTACAGCAGTGAAAGAGTAAACTTTCTGGCAAAAGCTATTCTTGGGAAGGCCAAATTATAGTATCTGACAAAAAGAAAAATTATAAATGCTTCCAGAGCTTACGCCCAAAGCTAACACAGAATAGAAGTACTGAATGCCAAAGTCTCTCAAAACATCTTATTCAAAATATAGTATGTTAAGATACACTCTGATATATTTTGTGGAAAAATTATAGGGTGTTGATGGTCTAAAGCTTCTTTTGACTTTTACAGCACTTGCGGAAATTTGAAAGATCCAGCTCTGACTGCAACTTGGAATACATTGTATGAAATAATAATACGATGATGACTTGCAATTTCATGCTGGATAAAAAAAAACTTACCACTTTAATTGAAGCAGATTTATCTTCAAATGGGATATTGCCATGCTGTCAAAAAACCCAAAACAATAAAACCAAAGTGAGACAAACTCTTGGAATGAAAAGAAAATATTTACTTTTGTATGTTAAATTGCTCTCACCCAGAGGTTTATTTATTTCAGTGGAAGGGATTTTTCTTGTATAAACTTGTCAGTATACTCATGCAAAATATTTATGTTACTTTCTTGATAAAACAAGGTATTCGCATAAAGGGTTATTTTTCCTGTAAAAAAATCTATCCAACAAAGTCTGAAATGCTTTTTATTCACTGGTACAAAGGTATAAAATATTTATCTGTATTTAGACTCCCAAAAGAGAAAAAGACTTTTATTCTCTTTCTTTTCTTACACTTCCTTTCCCCTAGGCTTCCTTTTCAGCTGCCCATCTTCTTTACATGAAACAACTGACACAGTTTTAATTAAAAAATGAAAGAGAATAATTTCAGGCAGAAATAAAGCCTGGAATGCATAAATAAATTTGCTGAGTGTTATTGTGAGACATCAGAAAGGAAGCAGTCAGATTCTTCATACACATTTGTCCTTTCAAGTATTACTAAAATACAATATTAGCTTCAATCCTGATCCAAAAGAACAAGTGCATTTCTCTTCCACAAACTGAGATCTTGATTTCCTAAATACTTGACGAAAGATACACCTCAACTCAAAATCCATTATAGCACTCTATCATCCCACCATCACCTTTGGGCAGCAACTGTGACCTAACCAACAGATGAGGAAGACCAAAGTTATTCAATCAATCAAACATCCTGTTTTGACAGTAAGTGAGTGCATGCTGTCTGCTGGACAAGCCACCAGCTTGCACTTCTAAGTGACAGAATTACTCAGTAAGCGACAAATTTGATGTATAGTTCAAAGTGAACTGTGTCTTTTCCCTCACATATGTACTTACACCCATGAAAGCATACGCCTAAGCAGCATGATACAGCAAAAGAAATTAATTTCTGTTCAACAAAGGATACAGCTAAATCCTTTCTTACTGCTTCCACCCAGCAAGCTGCAGTTTACATTCTTCACCTTATAAAATTCAGAAAGCTCTTCAGCAGTGATGAAAAGAAAGATAAGACCAGAAGCTGTTTATAGTTGCAGCTTCAATTTAGACCTGGAAACCTGTCGTTGCTCTAAAGATTTTTACGAACAGATTAGATCAGCAATTAACTGACATTTAAAATGACAAATGATAACCCATGAATTACTAGTATTTAAAAACACACAAAGGAGCAATCATTTTCTCATCAAGAAGCCAAATATGAATCATAAGTTGCTATGGGACAAGTCAGCTTCATTACTTTATTCCCAGACTACCACAAGCTTTCTCTCGAGCTTCCTAGTTCGCTTCTCATCTGTACCCAAACAATTATCTTGATCTAATCTTTTTCTCCTCCAAAAGGCTTTTTGAGGTTCTTCTTCAAGATAGCTGAATGGTACAATTTCCTGTTGCTTTTTTTTTTAAATTTAGAGGAGAATTATGAGGTAAGTTAGGAAGACAGAAAAAAGACATCATCAAAATAAACAATTACCTCACCTTATTTCCTTCTTCTTTGACTTGAGGATTTATGAGTTTTATAAATGAATAGAACAGCTGTCGAATTCTAGAATCTCCTATAAACACAACATGTTTGTCTACGAGGCAATTTTTTGCTTCACTGTAAAACAAAACAGCAATATTCATGTTACAGGAAATGTATATTTTTAGGAAAAAGTCTTTAGAAAATCTACAGAGCAATACAGATAATTCTAAGCATTATATCCAGCTGTAACGAATGGTAAATCTTTTTTTAAAACATGCTGAATTAATAAAAAGCATAGCAGAATTTGCAGAGAAATGAAAATGAACTCTCTTGCTAATGTGACTCGGCAAACAATAGAACAGGCTTTCCTATTCTGTGGTGCCACACACACAGTAGTTTGAAAATGGTAATATAAGCATAATTCTAAAAAATGAAAGGTCTCTTATTAGGAGGTGAAAAAAAGTGGTAATTTTATTTGGGATTTTTTTTTCTTTTTTACTCATGATTCTACACATAAGGTCAACATTTGCCCTTTCAGCAATCTGAAAGTGACACATGAAGCTATGCAGGCTCTCCATAACATGTCAATACTAATATCACCAACATTTATTTCTATTTTTATATATACATCTAACAATGGTAAACACTGTAAACGCTGAGGTAATGTACAAGGAAAAGATAATATTTTTGAAAGCCTAGAGAATCATCTATAAAGGGAAAAACATATGACACTGCAATCACTGCAGCTGCAGTTAAACAATGACTCTTCTTTCCAGGCAGAAAAACCAAAGACATGAGTTTTCTTACCTATTTTTATACTTATGCATCATACAGCTGTGGGGTTGCCATACTTTTTCTCCAAGAAATCTCCCACTGGACAGAAGATACTCACACGTATCGCCACCTTTAAAATGTTATATTAAGATTAGATTTCAGATACATGAAAGTTAAAACATAGCCCCATTGCTATTAAAAAAATAATAATTTTACAATATTTGAAACACAGGAATTGAAACAATCAATAGCAGTAAAAAAACCAAACTCATTGTAAAAACTTCTTGCACAGATTTATGCAAACTGCCTTCTCACTTCTCATACCACACTTCTCTGTAGATCACTCTTCTATCCACAAAAGGTTAGTGATCCCATTTCTGCTGTCAGGAAGATGTGGTGACCTAGAACAGCGTTTCCAACAAAAGGTGCCAATCCACCGTGCTATCTACTATTAGTGTACAGAATACACTAATATGAAATTAAAGAATACAATAGTTCAATATCATAATCTTCTAGAGAATCACTATATACAGCATCTTTTACAGAACATGAATGTCAACAAGAGATTTGCAAGGAACTCTATTCTATCTCCTTGTCCGAGACATAGCAGTCACCTTAGAAGAGGTGACATTACATGCTGGGCTGATACACAAAACAAAAAGCATTTACACCAGAATCTGCTGATCATTCTGAACTGCAGGCACCTTTTCTAGTCAAGAAGTTTTACATTAATTAAGTGTAAAACTTTACAGGTGTTGATGTTTCAGGTCACTTTAAGTTCATACAAATACAATACCTCAGTTATGATATCAGGGACTGTTATCTCCCAGCAAGCTCCAAGTCAGATTCTGCTGCCTTATAACTGAACACAGCTGAACATGGTTCACTGCAAGAGAAGTTGCCCACCAACATTTTTGTCATACTTGTAATTTCAGAGCACTGACAAGCAGGGGAATGGTTGTGAATGAAATGGCAGGTACCTGTGCTAGCTTGTTCAGAAACAATGTACCACAGCCCACACTTAACGCTTCCTGTGAAACCTTGACTTCCTTAAACCGAACTGAGAACTGCTCTTTTACTCCACCGAAACCTGCACTAATCCTAAAGAAGAGGGCATTTTCCATCTGCTCTTTTCAGGGCTGCTGAGAGCCAAATATTATAATGAGACAGGCTTTCTGCTTCAACTAGTATAAGAAAATCTGAAGCATTATCTAGAATTGTAAATTAAACGAGCTGAACAGATTGAGATGCAAGTAGCCCGAGGTCTGTAGGAGTGGGAATTTACAAGGTACCACTGACTCTACCAAGACCCAGGCTCACAGCCCACAAAGATCCTCAAAGATCAGTACAACAGTGAAGACCTTTTAGGAAAAAGAGGCAGAGCCATGGTATCACTTCCCTTGTGCTGAAACAAAGGCTTCCACAAGACCACAGTCAAATCTATCAATAAATACAGAAATAAAAAGTGCACCAGATAAAGAAAGACTTTGTATAACATTCTGATAAGAAAATATATCCTAAGTTATGGTCCTAAGATCACAGCGAAAGCTAATTAATTATTATGGGCACTGAAGCAACTCTTCTATTTGGTTGCTTGGTTTTCAGGGTTTTTTTGTGTTGGACATAAGATAATTGGGAAAATTACTTATTTCCATAGTTTCCCAATAGTGGGAAAAATGACAATAGTATCTATGTTGAAGAAGTTTTGTATAAGCATTTTAGATCTATGGGTGCTAAACTTCAGAAAACATTAGTAATTACTTGGATGATGGAATACATATTTGTATTTACAATTAATACAGAATTAGGATCTTTATAATCTTCCATGATCACAGTTCCTTCCAGCTAATTCTTGCATTAACACTGGCAATGATGTTGTTACTTTAGTTTGTGAGCTGATACTCAGCTGCCTGCTCCTTCACAATCCACCCTAAAAATGAAATGTAAGGTTTCCAACTATAAAGCTGGGAAAATGTTACAAAAAACATTAAACAAATTACATGTTTAAAGTATAGCTGGCACACAAAACTGTTACTTCTCTCTTACTTCAATATTCTAGCTCTCTCCTACTTAGGATGCCCGGAAGAACGTTACAGATATCCCTGGCAGTATTTAAGAGCAGGTTGGATGGGGCTTTGAGCAACTTGGTCTAGTTGAAGGTGTCCCTGTCCATGGCAGTGGGTTTGGAACTAAATAAGCTTTAAGGTCCCTTCCAACCCAATCCATTCTATGGTTCTATGACATAGAAGTGCAGACAATGCAGCTCATGTATGCTTCTCAAAAAACAATATAAAATTAGTTTGGAGGAAAGATGTGGCAGCTGAAGACATCTTCTATCCCTATGTTCCTCTCTGAAACTCCTTCTACCCATTTTCATGAAAATCTGAAAAAGGCAGTGTAGAACAGACTCTATTATAACTGTTACTCCTTGGCTCATTTATCCAACCAAACCCAGCAGTAGTAACACAGTCAAGCACTATTTACAATAAGCTAAGGCTACTCATTCCAAAAGTGCAACTTTAACAATCAAACTTGCTTTCTCTGCTGGAATTTCAATTACTTTCCACTGCTATTGAATTATGGCTTCTAAAAAAGCTGGAATAACATGAAGAATAACAGTCTTGAAAAAGGTCATAGCTCTGGGTTTGGGTTGGCTCTCTGTGAGTAACCCACATGACATACTCCTAACATGCAAAATAAAATGGCTTCTATTAAAATTGTCATCTTTTACTCCTGTCTCTGTTTCGGGAAGCACATTTTGATGCACAGAAGAAAACTGTGTTGAAAATTTAAATATACACAGTGATAAGCTCCTATTTTTATCATCAGTAAGAATCTACTAATCACCTCAGGGCAGTTCATGAATTCTCTCAAATTGACCGGTAACCTCTCAAGCAAATGCCTGAGGTACCACAAAGCAGCTTGACACTTCCTTCCTAGTTGCACCGTCCATGTCGAACTGGTTAATTACTGCACAGCAGCAATGGGATGTGGCAAATGGTCAGACGCAGAAAGCCACTTGCTTCTGAACATTTAAAGAAGCTGTCATGGAAGTATGCTGAGACCACAGATGTAGGGTGAACTCCAGGGGCTTCCAGAAAGGTAGTCTCTGTAACTCTCCTGGTTTTCAACCAGCATGGGTCACTCCGGGTCAGCAACATCATCTTTCTTTTCCCAGTCTGTGCCTGTTTCATTATTCAGTTAAGTGCCATTTCTCAACAGATTACAGATCTTCCAGAAGCAGTTTTTCAGTGCCTTTCTGCTCCTCTTGCAACTACTGCTACTTACAAGAAAGCTGCTGATTCTGCTGCCAAGATTTCTGCAGAAATAGTTCAGAACACAGCAGATGACATGGAAAGAGGACTCTTTATCTACTTTTTAAATACATTGGCATTGCTCAGATTTGCTGGACAGGCATCTTTCTAGTAGAAAGAATAAATTTAAAATTACCATATTTTCCTTTTTTGGTAATAATTTCAAATAACATCCTGTTTCTATACTCTGGCTTTCAAACAACATAATTTCCTCAATTCTCAAACATGTACACTTATGTAAACTATCATTCTGAGTAAGTTGCATAAAAATCAAATTGCCAGAAATAATAAAAAGCATCAAACTCATTTTGCTTGTGATCAGATTATGAGAATAGGTGACTTACAATTATTACAGCTACTGCTACAAAGCCCTCCACCATGCAGATGGTGAAAAGTCATGTAAGAGTGAACTATGTAAAAGAAAATCCACACTAACTAGAATCCCTCTGAAATCCATTAGTTTGCTGAGGAAGATGCGTAACAAAATAAGAAGAGTCATGCACAGGCACACCATGACCTAGGTCATTCTAACTTGATATTCTGCCTTCAACAGGGGCCAAAAGCAGATGCCTGGGGACTAGTAAGAGGACAAGTAAACATTATGTTCTTGTCTAATATTCTTCCAACTATGTTCAGTCCAGGGACTTCCTAAGCTGGATGTGGTTTCTCATACTTTGTAAAACCTTCCACAGATTTTTTCTGACAAAGTCTTCTCTTAGATTTTTTAGCATCCACAGCAGTCTTCTACAAGAGCTTTTCATACCCGCAGCTGCTGCTTGAAGAATCACTTGCCTTTATTTTAAATATGGTTTCTACTCCTTCCGTAGGAAAAGACAGTTCACTCTCACATCTATCAAGATTTTAAGATCATTGTCAGTCCTTCCTCAATCAAGTTTGCAAGACTAAAGAATCTTAGTTTACTAATTCTTCATAGGAGAGCATGTTTCATATCTTGAGTTCATAACCCACACTTGGCAGCTTTGCACTCCAGGGCCTCCCATCATAATTACCAACAAATAAAACAATCCTCCATCCTACAATATATTATTGAAATAACATTCCAAACATCGCACATTGTATACATTGTAAACATAGAGGTAATATTTTAGGCCAAGGAATTATACCTTCTTTCCCAGCTCCAGCTACTGAGTATCTTAATATTTCCCTGAGCAATATCAGAAAGCTCCTGAAACTCACCAGGAGCATTACTGATGTCTGGTGTCTTATGTCTTTCTCTAAACATAATAGTAGAAGTTTTCAGGGGAAAATGAGGGAAGAGAATAAAACAAGACTGAAACAGCAGCTAAGGCAGTAAACTGGAGGTTACAAGAAAGATGGTGCCTCCAGAAAAGCCCAAGTCTTACTTAGGAGATGAAATAAACAGCAGCCAAAGAACCACGCTCATTTTAATATGCCACTCCTTCTTCTTAACCATTAATGAGAGCTGAAAAGAAAGAAAGAAAAGAACAAACTACCACAACAAAACCCAACCCAGTATCTGAGGAAAAGAAATCTATTCTATACACAAGTGCTATTCTATACACAAAACAGAACAATCATTTTAAGCATTCCCTTCATGCTTTCTGTAAATAATCCTACCAACATATTACCTTTTGTTTTCATCACATCACACTTAGATACACTATGATATAGTTATACAAAGACTGTATTTCCTCAGATTTTATCATGCTCATTACTCTAATTTATCATCCCTGAAGATCGTGTTTTTTCCACTGAAATTTTGAAATCTCAATGTCTTCATTCAGTGGGAGAACAGACTATGTTTCCCTATGCTTTCACTAAAAGGCACACTATTT